TGAACAATAAAATGAAAAATAGTGGCTCAGATCAGGTCCCATTGAAGATAATGGCAAAACTCATTAAATTTAGGAAGAATGAGATCTGATTGTTTGCACAAACAGAAAGTCACATACACTAGTTCACTCCTTGACAGAATCTAATTCCTCTGTGTTCATTTGTTGTGAGACGTAGCCTGTATTAGGCCCCAATTCAGCAAATAAATAAGCAATCCACATCACTAAAGCACTTGAAAATGTACTTTTAAAGCTGTCTAGAGCAGAGATGGATTACTGGATCAGCTTTATAAAAATAAATAGCCAGATTTTTCTCATTACAAATGCACACAATTTAAAGTGGAAAATACAGGATCAAATATAACCCTATGTCTTTGTAGATTTATGGTTTAAGATCACACACAAAAGGGGAATACGATTAATCAATAAGGATAAACAATTTCATCAAGAGTAAAATTACATAAATAATTTATTTTCATTGAAAAGAACGGCAATTTGCAAATTACAGAAACAAAATGGAAGGGCTGATTAAAAGGATTATAAAAAAGCTACAAAGTGGTGGTAATGTGTTTCTTTCTAACGTGCAAATGAAAAGAAATATTGCTGGAAAGACAGCTGTAATAAAAAAAAATCACTATGCTTCATTTTTATTTGTTACTTTAACAACCAACACAACTTTAAACTGTTTAATCACTTGAATTATTTACCACACACAGATTCATAGCATTATATATTTTCTTTTCTTCTTTTTTCTTTAAAGATCATATTATTGGAATATTTTATTTACCTAGAACCTTTAACTTGCTTGATCACAATGCATTAAGGAGTTAGTTTCTAAGAGAGGTATATTATTTCCAAATATGTAAATTGCCCGATGTATTATTGGCAACATTTTAACTATTGGTTAGAAGAAGATTATACAATACCAAAAATGATGCTGTGGACAGCAGTTTCATACATTATTTAATGATAGTTCTTGTATTTTATATTTTCTTAATTCCTTAGTTTTCAACAGAGAAGGGTTTTTTTTTTGTTTACAAAATTTAAAACAATTATAGAGGAAAATGTTTGTTTCTGTTGCAATCTTATCTTATTAATAAGATAAAGCGCTTTCTTTTTCAGTTTCCAGTTTGGACTGGCTCATATTTCTTAACCAAACTGCTGGTTGATATTGCTTTGGAATATTCATTTTCCCCAACAGAGAATACAGTTCTGACTGTAATTCTTCTCTGCATGGCATAGGGGACTTGTTTGGAACATCATGTATCATCAGTACTAAAGCCCGATACTCAGTGATGTTCAGTCCCTGCTTCTGAAATATAGAGCTGAATTTTTATGAAATGAAGGAGGAAATGTTCATTTTTTCTAAAACTCTAAGTTATTGCATAATTATAGCAATGGTTCTATAAATATTACAAACAATACAATAAATATAGGAAATATCTACAATGAAAACTAATAAAAAACAGTTTCGAAAGCATGGAATACAAATACAAATTCTATCAAAACAACACTTTTGAAATGTTATGTATTAATATGATTTAGTCTGTTACTTCTGTTCATGTGGAGCAGTAGCTCATTCCAAGAGCAGTTCAGCTAATATCAGTGTTTCAGATTAGGTTTGTACGAGTCTTATTAAACCATAACATAACAACACATTATTCTTCTGTCCATTCAGGCAACTGAGAGAAATATGTTTCACCACCATATTTAAACATGATTGTTTTGTAGTATAAACCAGGCCTAAAGCGAATTTGATTTAATGAATTTAGTGGCATGCAAAGTAAATCCTTTATGACAGAAGGATCGCAAGTCTAATGCAATGTTTGCAAGACTAATTTATTTATGGGCTTTGTACGTACCATACAGAACATAAAAAGTAACTTCAGGTATGTGTCATCTTTGAACCAACAGTATCAATGTGGATTTTTTTCATTATGGTATAAGGAAATCTACTTCAATAGCAATGGGGAATTACACATTTTGAAGGGGAAATGGACTATTTGATTGAGTAGGTTCTTTTCCTTTTCTAAAATCTAAGTTTATAGGATCCTGTCAGACACAGATGGAAAATGATCCATCTTTGTTTTAAGGTGTTGCATATTTCAAGAAATTACTTCCAATATTTATGATTTCTTTAATATTAATATAAGGACCAGAATGCTAAATTTCAGGATCCATACTGTAAATGTGCCATTCTGTCCATGATAAAATCATCCTTCTCTCTAGCCATTGTCAGTTGTAAAAATGAGGTGAGACTCTGCTGTCCTTCTCAAAGCATTTACGCTAATAAAATTCATTAATATACCTAATTAAGTCTTTCACAGCAACTTTACAGACAGTAGCTTATTTATAGGGACGATTTCTGATTTGACATTCAGCCTCCAAAATAAATGAAATAAAGAAACAGAAGGCCAGTGAGTAATACTGATCTGCTTGGTCTCCTTTTTCAGAAAGAAAATATTCTAGGATGTTGCAAAGATTATCCTATCAAATGATATGCAATACCAGCACACAAGACTTGGTCAATAGTTTGTATTCAAAAGCTGCTAAATATACAAGATTATCCTAGTTTGTTCAAAACTATGAGCAGCATGTAAATGAAGATAATAGGATTTTTGTTTTCAGCAGAAACAGTGAAAACATTTTTATTATGTGTTCATTTTGGTCTCACCTGTGATAAAATTTTGTGGTCTCTAAAACATAAGGACTAGTGCTTTATTTTCAGAAATGCGGAGAATTCTTAATAGAATCACTAGGATGGGCAAAAACATTTGCAAAGACAATGATCCAGTGTGACTACCACAGTTTAGCTGGAATGAGATGAACCACATTTCCAGCCCACACAGGCCCTGGAATTTGCAGAGCATTTCTCAGCAGACCTATTACCCATCTGCTTCAGAAACTGTCTCCTTTGCATAATCTTTCCTTTCTCTCTCTCTTTTTTTCTAATTTCTTGAATCTGATTAACGAATCTCATGGCTATTTATTGAAGTCTGCTTGCTTCATAAATAGAACTGATCCTAAAGGGTTGATTTGGAAGGAAATAATCTAGTGTGCAGTTATTGACCGCTTTCAGAAAAAGTCTTTCTCATCTTGTAAAGCCAAGCAGGGGCATAAATTGGGAGAGAAGATGAATTTAATGCCTGGGATTGTCTGAGCTAAGATATTCACATACAGAAATGTTTGCAAGCTCAAGCCACAATTTCACTACAGTTATATAAATATTTATCTGAGTGGTCTCAGTGTATTCAATGGGATTTCCAATGTGTGTATTGGTACTGGAGGGCAAAGATAGGTCTTAATCTTGGAAAGAGCTTGTGCATGAGTTTGATTCTGTACTAGGTAAGTAGCTTCATTGTCATGATGGAACTATTTTGTGCTGTAAATGCGCATGCAAATCTTTGCCAGCTTAATGCCTAAGTTATGGGAAACATGGAACACTTTACAGGAAAAGCCTATCAAATCCACACATCTGAAAACTGAGAAAACAGAGATTATGTAATAAATCTTTTCTAATGTTTCCTGATCTCAGTAAATTTAGATAATTCTTGAAACAAGACTAATTAAAATAATTTCCCATTCAAAATAAGCCTTTTCAGTCTTTGGATACTGTCCAACACACTTATGAAAGCAAATATCTATTGGCTGTCCATATTCTTGTTAATGTGGTTAAGAGCTATGTGACGATTCACAAGCTGAATATGATTTTTGTAACATGCTATTTTTGGTTGGGCCCAAAGGATTCATTACAGATTATGGGGTTTAGTAATCAGCTGGTGTGCGTGGTATTTTCCCATTTATTCAGTTTCCATCGCATCATTGCGGAAGAGGAGCAAGGGACCCAGTTGCCCATCCCTCTTTGGTGGAGATGCCTCAGGTAGTAATACGCAGACAGCAAAAGCTTCTTTCAGATATCCAGCAGCCACAAGTCCATCACAAGGCTGCTCGTGCCACCAGTCTCCACTCACTCAAAGGACTGACTGAGAGACATGGTGAAAACAGCAGTGGCCTCAGTTTCCTTGTTCCTTCCAGTAAAGTACAGCAATAGCAGTCAGCAACTGCAAATGGAGCAAAAAGGAGACATGAAAATGATTAAGGAGTTATTGCTAGTTATTGCTGATAAGAAAATTGATGAAGCTGCTTTTCTTTATCTCCAGGAAGTGCCATTTCTTTGCGTGGGTTGTGTTTGCCCTATTTTGCCTCTTACCGAAATGTCACCGTGGGGCACAGGCAAGCTACCTCTTCTGCTTCTTGCTCAAAACATTACATGTTCCCCGCACTGTGGTGATTTGCAGCTGTGATAAAGCTTGGCTAACACTGCTGGGATGCAGGAGATGGCTCTCCAGGCTGCTTTGCCTTGGCAGCATCCAGACGCCCATTCCGGGTGTGTCTACCAGTTTATAGGTGCTTTAGAAATGGACCCATACAGGCTAGCTTAGTTTCCATTGGTTTACTTGCTGACTGGAAGACCACCATCTTTTTTTATGTGTGGTTGGTAAAGTTAGCTAACCCTTTAAAGCATTTCTTTGGCTAGTGACTTTGCTCTTTTAAAATGCAGAATAAGGAATGAATTAAAATCTATTACTGTTTTACTGTAAGTCCCATATATTTATTTTTCCTCATACAAAGTGCCAAACCCAGCTCATTTGGAAAAAAAAAAGAAAAGAAAAGAAAAGAAAAGAAAATAGCCAGAGGACTGTTTCAAAGCCCTGACCTTCAGAAGGAGGAAATGCCTGTGTGTAAAGCAGGCACAGAAACAGCAGGTGTGCTCCAGGTGAGGGCGCCTCCCAGCCTCAGGCATGCAAAGGATTCCCACCGAGAAGAAAAACCGAAGCAAACCAGGAAACAAAAAGAAATATTCAGCCTGTCCACGTCGGAGACTGCTAAAGAAACAATCAGGTCAGCTTGGTTAATCATTACTGAGACAGACTGTACAGAAGTTCACAGCTGATCACACAGAAGAAACCTGTTTGCCATAAGAAAACTCCCCTCACAAGCAGTAAGAAATGAGAAGCCTCCCACATCAGATCTTCTGAATTTGTTTTTTGCTGTAGGAGAAAAGGACCCATGCTCTCCTATTGTTCCAAGACTTCAGCCCAAACACAGTTCTTTTGTTGCTTTCCTGTTCAGAAGAGGAAGTGAGAAATTTCCCTCCACATGTGCTCCAGCGCTTGGACGCTCAGGTTTCACTCCTGAATCAGGAGCCGCCTGTAATGAGCTCCCGGTGGGGCTTGGAGAGAAGGTTCAGCTGGGGCAAGAGTTGTTTCATTTTGTGCCAAAGGAGGAGGAGAGGAAGAAAAGCTGCAAAGAACTGAAATGTTGATGGTGCAAAAAGTTGTCTAAGAGTATTGCAGTTCGGAAAGTAAAAGAGAAGAAGAAAACAGAGGAAGGTACAAAGAAATAGAGCAGCAGGATGGGAAACTTTTGTCAGAGGCATTGCATCTGTTTGCAGCCCTGTATCCCTTGCGTATTCTCACGGGGAGAAAATGATCGGAATGAGGTTGGCCAGGTCTTCGCCAACCCTGCTGTCACAGGAGATGCCTTCCAAACAGGGCAGAAAGACAGATACAGTGAAATAAGAGGTAAACCTTTGCCTTCGCTGCCTGGGGAGCATCTGGTGAATACTCGCAGATTTGTGGCACTCTTTGACTATGAGGCTCGGACTGAAGAGGACTTGAGCTTCCAAGCTGGCGACAAGCTTGAAGTGCTGGATGCTTCCCACGAGGGCTGGTGGTATGCTAGGCTCCTCCTGCCGAGGGGGTCAGTCTGTCCCGGCCGCAAGCTCCAGGGCTACATCCCTGCCAACTACATAGCTGCTGACCAGACCATTGAAGCTGAACTGTAAGTAACCTGTGTAACATACACTGCAATCTCTTTTCTGTTAGTTTAAACTGGTTTGGAGCAGACTTTTATGGCTTTTTATTTGCTGAGTAGGACCCTGCCACACTCAGCCTCCTTGCGTGTGTGAGGAGAAGACGCCACGGTCTCAAAAAGATCAATTATAAGGGGTAAAGTGTTCAGGTTTTGGTTTAAATTATTTCCCTCTCTGATATGCCCTAATTGCCTGCTCAAGAAGCATCTGGGAATCAGGCTGGTTACCACTGTGAGAGCTCACTGTTGCTATTGGTATGAGAGTAAGTGTGTGTTAGATGCTTTTCAGAAAGTAAAAAGAAATAACCCCTGCCCTAAACAGCCTTTAGTCTAACTACGTGCCATGTTAGCAATTAGTCAGAGTTTCAGGAAGCTACCTTTATACCTTTAGATTCCTGTTACAAGTGAGTCTCTAAAAGATAACTTACTTTCTCATGGTTCCCACTGAACCATTTCTTATCTGTAAGCAAATCCCTGCTCCCAGAACAAAGTTAACCGGAGTAAGTACTGCAAAGGAAAAAGAAAGTGGATATAGCAAAGGAATGCAAATTAGATTTGTTTAAGTTTCACAGAGCTTAATTACACAGCCCATATTTGTCTGACCCTTGAAAACACATTTGATCATATTTAACATTCAGAACTGGACCAGAAATGACATATAATAAGTTACTTAGCTCTCTAGTGAGGATGAGTGGTGATGAATCAGTCTGGGATGCAGTTATTTTTGTGTGTTGCAATCAGGGGCAGCACTTACTAAAACAGCACTGACTGCAATTCCAGAAATATGTGCATGCAAATTATCAATATGGAAAGAGACAACAGAAATAGCATTCTTAGCTTGCAGAAATCATTTTGACTAGAAACTGTGTATATCTCTTTACTCATCATGTCCAAAGATTTTCTTTAAACCTGAGAGGAATGACATTGCAGTTTTTCAGTTAAAGCTCCTTTGGACCTGAAACATCACCTCTGATCTGATCCGTGCACTGTATTTTCTAGGGCTAGGATAATTGGCTTAGATATGATTATGCCAGTCCTTTATCAACTGTAAGATTTGTTCAGGAGGCATCTTAGGGCAATTGTAACCTGAAAACCTTAATTTCCAGAAACTGACCAGCCATTTCTTTTTCTGTGTTCAGGCAGACAATGTTTTCAATGATCGTGTTCAGAAGAATTCTTCCAATTGCAGAAATTAATCTGCAAGGAAGGTGGTCTTCCGAACCACTGGAGAAGTGGTGGTAGGCTATAATTCAACTCAGCTTGACCTTCAGACTCTTTCAAGAACCTAGTTTTCTCAACAAGTCATCTACAATTTCTACTTGCTGTTAATACTGTGAAAGTAACTTTGTTCAGTTATACAGCAAAGTCTCAAGTATCAGCTCTTAAGATCCTTCTTATCTTTCTAGATCTCCAGCATCAGATATGGAGTTAACTTTGCCAAAGTGCATTGCCGAATAATGATTTTTTTGCTTTTTATAGAAAAAAAAAATCTTTATATACTTCTCCTCCTTTTTTAGTAAAGATTAAATTTTGATAACAGATTTTTGTTTATAGATTCTTTTTTTTAGAACAGTTGAGAAGAAGTGTGAAGCTTGCACAGCACTCGAAGTCATTTCTTCAAAAGTTTGTCAGTGCTTTAGTGTAATACCAAAACTAATCTGGCTAAATATGTAGTCTTTTCTCAGGTATTCAGATTTCCTGCTAGGTCAGTTGGCCTTAGTGACCTTCAGTAAAAATAAGTACACAAGACTTTCTTGCATCAGGCCCGCAGATATCCTTTCGTATAATCATAGACTAACTTAGGTGGAAAGGACCTCTGAAGGTCACTCGCACCAACCCCTCAACTCAAAATGTGGCCAACGTAAAGTTAGACCAGCTTGCTTAGGGCTGTGTCCACTTGACCTTTTCGCCCTTATGGTGAGGAATTTTCTCCGTATTCCAAGTGGAATTTTCCTTGCTATAATTTCCTCTAAAACTTCACCCTCACCTATGCTCCACCTTTCATATGTCTATTATTCTAGTGAAGAAAATTAGATGAAACAATAAGATCTGCAGTAATGGCAGTGTTTTAAAGAGCTAAATCTTGTTTTCTTTAAAGTAAACCTTTTCATTTTGATTTTAATTAGCTCTCCTTTGGTGTTGGCCAGTTGCTCAGGGTCATGACAGATTTTTCTGGAAATAAGAAAAGATTTTATTGCATCCTTCCATCTTTTATACCAGTTCTTTAGTCGCATCAGAGAACTGAAAAAGAATGAGAGTCTTGTAATCTCTATAGCATATTCACCTACCAGAACACATATATGTCGTATATATGTTGCGTGTTGTTTATGCTTTGCAATTTTTGCCAGGTAGAGCTGACCAACAGTGTTTGGGCTAGCTGAGAGCACGTTCCATAGCACTAGCTAGCTGCTGTATGTCTGCAGAGATGATGGGAATTTGAACTTGTTTCTAGACTATGTCTCCATCTTACTGGATCCAGGTTAGCTGGTTCAGGGAAGCTAACTTGTTGATCATCTATGAATATGCCTTGGTCACTGTGTGGTGCACATGGAGGAATTTATGAAATTAGTGATTTTCCATTTTTTTGCGTGTCAACTTTGTACATTAGTATTTGTAAGTGAGTTAGGCAACATGAACAGAGAATAACAGAAGCATTGATTTGGTGTCGTCCCCTCTTTGCATTGGTGCTACAGAAGTCTCTAGAGTTCAAGCAGGGCCATTCTTTAAAAAAAGAAGGAAAAAAAAGGAAAATATTTATCCTGTTATCTCTTTGCTCACAGCTCAATGTTCAAGTATGAAATTTACTCCTATCAATCTGACTTGCACATTGGCAGTTATACGGGCGAAAGTAGCCTTTGAGCTCTCTCAGATGTGCTGAGATACCCTTATATGTTCCTGATATGCACATAGGTAATCCTGCACACAGATGTGGAAAGTGTATTTTTTATTTTATTTATTATATCTTTTTAAATAATCTCATATTTATGTATTAAGGTCAGCAAGTGAATCTCACTTGAAGCAAAAGGTTCTTTCAAAATGCAACTCCTATTAACACTTCTGCTCTTTGGTTCATGGTATTAGTCTTAGGAAGCTTGGGAAGAAAACCAAACTGTATGGTTTGCAATCTTCTTTAGCAGCTGACTTTAGCATGATTGTGCGTGTATATATATATATATATACACACACACATATATACATATACACACATATATATATATTTGTATACACACACACACACACACACACACACACACACACACACACATAAACTATAGAAATCTATATTAACTTTAGAAAACATTGCAATTCATATGCATGCATGGATAGGCTGTAAGTTCACTTACGTAAAGGGACCGGAAGGGCATGAAATAAATTCTTTAAGTCATGGGAACGATGCAGAGATGACAGGCTCAGTATTTCAGTTTAGCGAACATATTCTTGAAAGCTGCATTCAAAACTGTCAAAGTTCTTTTGCTAAACATTTCAGATTGTCTTGTAGACTTTAAGATTATTAACAGCACATTATAGCTGGTCCTTCTTAATCAAAATTTTGACAGGATCTATATTGTAGACCTGACTACGGGTTGGTAAGTCCATGTGGTTCTGTATTTTCCTTTCTGACAGAAGATAATGCTGGAAAATTGCTTCCTCTCCCGTCCAAGTGCCTCAGCAGCCAATTTTGTCTTCTCTCTGAAGTGTCTGTAAATTCTTTCAGGGAGAACGGTTTTTGAACTTTTTGTCAGTAAGGAAAGTTCTTCTTCAGTAAGAAACTTTGCAATCTTATCTCCTTTGAGATAACAGTTTTTGTTCTTGGAAGTTACCGTGCTTTGACTCCATCCTGTATGACTGAGGTAGTGCTGGCAAGCTGGAACAATAACTGGAGGAAAGAAAATAAAGGATGTCTAATATCTCCGCTTTGTAGGGGAAGAAAATGTCATTTATAACAAAGGGAATTTTCATGTATTTTGGCTATCAGAATGTTCAAGGAGAACTGATAAAGAATGAGATTTCTTTACTGCATTTCTTTCAGACTATTTCTGCCAATTATTCATAGCAATTGTAAGTAGAGATGTACATATTGTAGTTTGCTAATAACTTCATTTATGACAAACTTATGCCAAAAGTCAAACACTTATTAGTTTTGCGTGATATCTCATTAAAAAAGTATTTCTCCTGCTTTCTTCTTTTGCCTTGAGTAATCCCTTTCAATGAGAATTGCTCCAGTGAAATCAATATCACTTTAGGTGAATAGGGGAAGGGAAAAAGGGATAACTCAGTGTTTGGATGCTGCCTGCCACAGCGTTGCAGTCTAAATATGTGCTGCATAAGATTAAACAGATCCAAGAAATGCCCACCTTCTACCACAAAGGGTATTTTGGACAGACTTAGGAAACAAGGCCCTTCATTTTTATATTTACCAATAAAGCATCTTCCCATTACTGATCTTCTGTAGCATCTGCAGTACTCCTTATGCTAACAACATGCTGCATGGTTGAGGGGTTGCACAGGGATTGTACCAGCTTTATCTGGAGACAGGTGTGTTCTGGCTGTACCTGGACTATTTGGGACAAGTTGGCCAGTGAGCAGAAAGCATTTGTCTAGCAAACCGTAGTTGCAGATGATGTACATGCACAGTGAACTTTCACTTCCTAAGGAATTACACCAGTAACTACAAAAATACTATTTTACTTTATTTTACTTGCCTGCATGAAAGCAGAGGTAGCCTATGCTAATGATAGATTAGCTGCTATAAAAACACTTAGCACTTCACTTCTCTGTGCATCATAGGTAGTAGTCAAAGTCACAATCCAGAAAGACATTTTTCATATCCACGCAAGTCTGACTGAGGTTATGTATGCTGCATCTGATGACTTGGGAATGCTCCTCTTTCTGGGTTTAGAAATGTATCATTTGGTAAAAAGGAAGATAAAAACACAAATGGATATACGGTCACATGTTTTAAGTTGAAT